CGGATAAATTCTCTCACTTTCTTTCTTTTGTTTCTATTTTATTTCGCTTTTGTTTTTTTAACTTTTTTTTTCCCTTCCGTTTTATTACTCTCTCTCCTCCGACGTTTTTCTCTTTTTCTCAATTTCCAAGGACCGCAATTTCTCGCCCTTCGACGACGGCACACATCTGTCGCTAACGCTCGAAATATATCCGCGGAAGAAAAGAGCCGCGGCTTCTCTCTCTTTCACTCTCAAACGCTTCTTCCTCTTCATCGTCATCATTTTTTTTTTTTTATTTCTTTTCTTACTGTTTTTTTCTTTTTCTTTTATTATTACACCTCTCGTTAAGAGAAAGGCTGTCGTCGTCGTCGTCGTGGTCGTGTAACATAAATTCGAGCGATCTCGAATAAAACACGCAACACGACCGTACTATTATTTCTCTTGAACGCGACCTCAATTAATAATCCGTGATCGTTTTGCTTTATCTTACAAAACATCCATTATAGTCTAGCCGCTTTTGGATAGAGAGTCGCGCGTTGTCCGTTTTCACACTAAATATATGTAAGAGAGGGTCTGCCTGGAAAAATTCCTTTTTTTTTTTTTTGTCCACGACTTCACATCACGACTAATTAATTATTATTATTCGAACAATATTTTTTTCCTTTTTTGTTTACCGATTTCCCCCCGAAAAGGCAAGCGTTTTACCATTTGTCTATTCGTAATTGTTCCTTCTCTCTCTCTCTCCCTTTTTCTTCTTCGTTTATTTCTCTCTCTCTCTCTCTCTCTCTCTCTCTCTCTCGTACGCTACTCCTCTCCCTTCTTTGTTTCTTTTTTTATCGTTTTATTTTTATTTTTTTTCTCTCTCCACTCTTCGTCGCGCTCGTCTCTCGCGTACGCGCGATGTACGACGACGAACACACACGAATAAAGAAACTGAAGAAACGCGCGGCTCTTTCGCCAGCAGCGCGCCTTTCATAAATATTCTGTACAACGTTATAATTATTATAAATCATCATTGTATCTTAATTATAGAACCTTACCGTTATGTCATTATTATCGGTAGTGTAAAATTGAAACTTTTACGTACTTAATGGTAGATTAGACATTAGCGTCTATGCCAGGCGGGATAAGCACCCCGCCACCCCAAAGAACGTTTCTGCTCTTCTTCTTCTTCTCTCTTTTTTTTTTTTTTGCGTTTTAGTTTAATAATTATTTATTTACCATTTTTTTTTTCTTTAAATCTGCTCTTTTACCCCTCGTTAAATCGATACATAATCGTATAATTTAGGTATGTCGCTATACGTTATTTGTTAATCGTAAAATTACGATTAGTAAGAATATGTAAAATCGGTATTTCCTCTTTAGTTTTTGGCTTTTTTTTTTTTTTTTCTTTGCTCGTTTAATTCAATAAATCTCATTAAGCATCCACATAATTGTTTAGTATACATGGAATTAAAAGTGGCTTATTTATTGCTTGTTATATTGCAAGTTTCCTCATTGCAAGCTGTACCATATCGCCGAGCTTCCCGTTCTATCTTTCGCGCGCTATCTCTCGGTCCGTCCGTCCCCCCAGCCCCCGATTTGCTTCTTCGTTTTTTTTTTTTTCGTTTTCTTTTTTTATTTTGCCTGTGCTCTCTCGCGAGGCGTCGTAAAAAATATGTTTTTAAAAACCCTTTCCGCTCCGTTGTCTCCGCGTTCGCTGTAACGCGCGTTCCAGTAACAGAATCACGCGCGGACTGTTTGGTAACGGTTCGTTAATTTGACGATGTGAATGACGAGACGACACTCTCAGACTCCCGCGGTACTTTTTTATTCATAACATGCCGTGTACTCACGAAACACTCGGTGTTGTGTTGTTTGTTTCTTGTTTTTCACGCGACAACGAAAAAGGCCCATGTCACGAGAGAAGAAAAGAAGAAGAAAAAAGGTAAAAAGACGAACGACGACTGAACGGGATACAGCGAGTGTCTTGAAATTCGTGAATTCGTGTGTTGTTTCTTTTCTTCCTTTTCTTTTTTTTTTCGTTTCTCGTTTAGCTTGCCGTCACTTCTCACGCAACGATCACGACGCAGTTTTCCCCCATTGAAGAACGCCTCGGATCAACCGAAAAGAAGAAAAAAAATAACAGCTTATTTTCGTTCCTTCGAATTTTGTCATTTGTCACCTTTTCTCTCTCTCTTTTTTTTTTTTTTTTTTTTACAGAAGAAAACGAACGAAATCTTGGGGTGTGTGTGTGTGTGTGTGTGTGTGTGTGTGCCGGCGTGACTTACGTTTCGAAAACAGAAACGAATGGACAGAAACAATGGCACAATTTACAATGTGAACGATGTAAGTCGTCTGACGCGAAATTGTCGACGTTCCGAAGATGAAGGCCGGTGAAGAAATTTCGTTTAGTCAGTTAGCCTGGACGAAAATGGACGATCAGTGACACGATACAGCGCTAAAACAATTTTTAGATCTCGTAGATCGGCTCGATATGTAAATTGGCAAACAAGCAATAAACACGTGTGCTTCGAGAGAAAGAAAAAATATAAAACGAACTCGAACGATAAATTGCAAAACCTGCCGCCACACGGTAGATCTCTCGCGTGTGTATTCGCAATATTTCGACGACAATTGTCGGCGCTTGTCTATCGACACGTATCGACCGTTCTAGGAACGAGCATTTATTTAACGTGTAACAACTTTTCTTTCCACCGATTCGAACACACTTGCGCCGACGAGGAAGGAGAATCGTAACCGCTGTAGCGAGAGCGTAGATTCGAACAAATTACACAAATGGCCGAAACGAACTAAACACTTTTCGTCAATTCAACATGTCGCGATCGAAGAAAAATTGCACAAAATTTACCGAACATTGGAGACAGTGGCGCGTTATCCTATGGGCAAACGGGGCCTCCACCAACGAAGGGAGCCCCAAACCAATCCTTTGTAACCTCGTTCACTGTACATGGAGCCCCAAAATTCAAATTTGTCCGGGGCCTCGTGAAGCTATAACTCGCCACTGATTGGAGAGAAGATGTACAGTAACACTCGCTCAGAGGTAGACGATTCAATTTCGCCCACGGAGAAAGTGTATTCGTTGAAACGAAACGCTCAGAACAACGTTCCTTAATACTCGTTAATAATAGTAATAATAATAATAATAGTCTTCCTTCGATAACAGAAATACGGCGGTGAAAATTCTTTGTTTCCTCGGATAACACTTAAGATACGTGAAAATTGGATATCTCGATGGTTGACAGTTCGATCGTTTCCGGTTTCTCGTATTACGAGGACAGACCAGGAACCGAGACGATCTGTGTTCTGTAATGGACTGTACCGAAAAGAAAAGAAGAACGCGATTTCGATAGAGTTAGTAATGAATCTTTGTTTTCTGCTCGAAACAAAAATGGTGTACTCGTGATGCTGGTCAGTGGCACGATGGTTAGCAAAAACTTCATCGAAGCTCGTCGCTGTTACATCCTCTTTTCTTTTTCCTTCCTTCTTTCTTTCTTTTTCTCCTTTCTGCACGCGGGAAGAATATTTAACAGATTACGTGTAACTGCGCATCCGAACGTGTGCACGTGTAATTACATGATTAATATATATACTTATTGTTATATTTTATACTTTGCGTGCGCGTATATATACATATATATCGATATACATGTATATATACAATATATATCGTATGGGGTTATGTTCATATTTCATTTAATTCACGACTCGAAAAAATCGCCTGGACGTCT